ATTTAATTTTAAACTGTACAAACAAGTGCGGCAATGAATTGAAGATTGCAGCACGCACCGCACAAGCTCGTTTTACAAAATGGAAGGAGATAAGTCTTGAGGAGTTCACGGTATTTATTGGCATAATTTTATTTATGGGTACCGTGAAAGTTAATAGAATGGCCGAATATTGGTCTCGACATTATTTAATGCGCCTAAGCCCACATTCATTTATGGCTAGGGACAGGTTTTATTTAATATTAAGAGCATTAAATGTCCAAGATGAAATGAGGCCGGAAAGTATTTTTAAAGTAAAGTCGTTAATAGATATGTTCAACGAAACAATGTCCACAACTTATTACCCATCCAATAATGTTGCAATAGATGAATCCTTGATTTTGTGGAAAGGACGTCTTTCTTTCCGCCAGTATTTAAAAGGGAAAGTCCATCGTTATGGAATTAAATTATATATGTTAGCTGACATGAATGGCCTAGTAATAAAAATTCATTTATATGCTGGTTCTGGGGATCAATTGGTAGGTGGAAAAAATCATGTAAAAAAAGTAGTAATGTTGTTAATAGAAAAATATTTAAATAAAGGCCATTCACTTTATATTGATAATTATTATAGCAGCGTTGGTTTAGCAGAGGAGCTTTTAGATAAAAACACGTACGTAACAGGTACACTACGAGCAAAGCGCGCTGGTAATCCCACTTTAATTAATATAAAATTAAACACCGGTGAATCTTGTATTGTTCACAATTCCAAAAAAATTGTTGTTACCAAATGGCAGGATAAACGCGAAGTGCTGCTTTTGAGCTCGCAGCATAAAAGCATTTACAAAGGGACTAATAGTCGCCGAATACGCACTATAAAGTATAAGCCTGATGTACTAATTCAGTACAATAAATACATGAGAGCAATTGATAGGCACGACCAGCTTTTAAGTTATTATTCCTGCAAACACAAAACCTTACGTTGGTATAAAAAAGTTATAATCCATTTAATCCAAATATGTTTGGTGAATAGCTTTCTTTTATATCGAGAAATAAGCAAATCGAATATAGAATTATATGATTTTAGAAAAAGTGTATTAGAAAATTTATTAAAGCCACCAACCGTGCCACAACGATCCCTTGTTGAAAGAAAAATACATTTACCTAGTACTTTTACTAAGAGTGGTGGAAGGACAATGAGAAAGCGATGCAGAGTATGCTATAGCAAAACTAAAAAAAGAAACTTGGTTATGTATGGTTGTTCTGATTGCCCAGAATTCCCAGGGTTATGTCTCACCCCATGCTTCCGAGAATATCATAAATATTAACAAATGTATTAGAAATTTTTAATATTTATGATATTTTTAGCTTGCAGGTATTTCATGATTTCAATTAATACACACACTATATGTTATAATTTGTTTAATTGAAGATTTTTAAATACTTATAACAAACAATTCTCATTAGTAATTACTAAATCAGTCTTTTTAATGATTATAGTAAAAATCTACCTTATAAATAAGTACAATTATGTAATATTATTGCACAATGTTAATAAATAAACCTTAATATTATGTAAAACCGATGCTTTTCATTTAACTCGCCTCTCTCTCTTCATCTAAAACTCTTTTCATTTAAAACTTATGGTTTATTAATAAAATTATTTTTTTAGCGTTTCTATAATTTTTTGCATTATAATATATCTCTCATTAATACTAAAACGTAGTAACTCGTTAGATACGAATTTCCCAAAATATTTACAGGCGTGAATATCCACGACGGTTGTACTCGTAAATTGTTCTTTATCTTCTACCATTATATTTTCAGTAAACGTTGAAATATCTTTGGTGGATATTTCTGTGTACGTTGCACAATCTTTCGTAGGTTTTTTTGTACCTTCCGCCGCAGAATTTATTTCATCTTCATTTTCTTGACCAGGTTCCCAGTCATCATAAGTCTGGGAATTTTGTTCTAAATAAGCCTGTTCGACAAACTCGTAGTCAGTGTCACATTGCGTTTCCAGTTGTGATTCTGGGATATATTTTCTTTTTTTTGGTAATTCTAGAACAAAAAAGAATATATGTTTATATCAAGCAAAAAAAAAACTTGCTGTGAGCATTACGACGAATTTTTCTGTAACTACTTTTTGTTTTTTTAAAATAAAAAGTGCGTAAACTGAATTGTAAATCTTTTAAATTTATGTAAATAAATGTAATTAAATAAAAAATCTATCATGAATTTAAATTTTGTCGACAGACTAGAAAAGAAATAAGTATAGTTTTATAAATTCAATGAAAACTACAAAAAGGTTTACAACACCTTACATAAATGAGTCACTTACCTTCCATTTCCATTAATACACGTAGATAATCACTTTTTTATACACTAAACGAACAATAAAACCGCTTACGTTCGATTTTGGTTGGCGACTAAACTTACAGCAAGTGGAAACAACAAAAAAGCGATACATTACAATACATGGCGGAAGGCGCCTTAGGGGAGCCATCAAAGTGCCTGGCGTTGGGCGCCCCAGAGGAGCCACGAAACATTTGTTCGTAGCCAGGCATGAAAGTTTGTCAAATAGTCCACCGCATTGAATCGGTTAACGGTTAATCCAAAGTTATCTGACCAGGTCTTAATGGCGACTAAATCTTCATTTACCTTAAGAATAGCCTCATCAAGAGTGTCGATGGATGCCTGAGCATATAGCTGCAAGTCATCGGCATATAGATGATACGCACAGCGATGATTATGAGTGATGAAGTTAATAAAACCATTCTTCAGACAAAGCCAACTTGATGATGAATCGCCAATATTGACCGACTGCTGTAATTATCTGTAGAACAACTTTTTTATGGCCTTTACAAAGTTTACAAGGTTCTCAATGTGTAACAAATTACGTCGGTACCAATAAGTTCATCGCTTTGACCTAAAAAGGGAATTGATAACACGTAACATAACTTGGTTGTTCAACCCACCGAGTATCCCTAGTATGTATGGACTTTTTGAAGCAGCTATTAACGCCCAGTTTGATGAAAACAAATTAATTGATAGTGAAGTGGTTTACGTGGGCACCTCACCAATTCACATTATAACTTCCATTGCTTGCTTGGATCTCCTACAAAAATTTGTTTTTTTTTTAAACTAAAGTGTTGCGTTAGATTTTGGTAAGTAAAGGCGTACGTTTTGAGAATTAAAGGCTTTCAATTTTTACTTTTTAATATACATAATTTAACTTTCTAATTAATATTAACAAAAATGACTAGATGGATTGAATCTATAATTTATCTGCCCTAAAATTAATTAAATAATGTAGATACATATTTATTTTAATGTCTAATAATTAGAGCTCAAGATTATTGTAATATTTTATATACGAGACTCGCTTTAACAGTAAGCATTATTTTACAAGCAATAATTGAATACACAAAAAATATGAACTTCTCACATTGTTTCTATACCAACAATAATTAAATGTGCTAAATTAGACTAATCTAGTAAAGTTTGCGGAAATGCTAAATAACAACTGATTTAATTTCAAATTAGTAAAATTTGAGATTTACCTTAATTTTTCTTTTATTTGCTGACACTGTTGAGATGTATTTTGCCGTTTAAATAATTATGTTAAAAACTTACTTAAACATAAGAAATTAAAAAAATTATAACATAGAAATCAACGGGATATAATGTAACGGACGAGCTATTTAGAGTAAGTTCTATACCATTTTAGATCAGGTTAAATCCGCTGCAGCGCCAAACAATATGTCATCTAACCAAACTATCGACACATCAGCGATTGCTTTTAAAATGCAGTTTTCTTGCGACCAAAGTCTTAAGTACCGTGGATTTGTGCGCCGCTTACACGTTTTGTTCGACAAAATACAACAATACCTATCTTCCATTACGCAACTAGTTAAATATTTTGGTCGCATTTTACTTTAAAACAGTTACATTTCGATACTCAACGATGGACAGGTATTGGCTTGGCAAATTTGGTGAGTTATTAACGATTTTTTACTTAAAAACAAACAAATTCTAAACCACTTCGACGCTTACGAGCTAACAAGCGACTAAATGAATTTAGCGTGGTCACCGCAGTTGAACGGAATACAAAAACTATGAATAGCATTTATTACATTGATCTCGATGACAGAAATAACAAATATATTATATAAATAACAGAATTCTTCTCAGTTAGCCATTGGCAAAACACGGCCAAATCTTTTAGAGCGGGTGGAATTCTCCGACAAAAAAAGACATAGGTACACGGGAGTTTATATATATAGTTGTCATGTTGTGTGTAAAAGTTGTATAAAGCTTTTGAGGTTAAAGTTTGTGGCATTAAAATCGTTATATCAGGGACTAGTAAAATAATAGAACTCCGCGCCACGCATATCGAAAGTAAAGTACATAGTACATTACCTAAAAACATTTACAACAACTTAATTGGTATTTCGATCATCCGCCATTAAGCGGCACGACGACATCTATGTAGGTACTATTTATTTTACGTCAACTAATAATTGGTACAAACAACCATAAAATTATGGAATGTGTGTTATGATATACATAGGTAACTTATTACTCACCAAAAAATATTAATAAACCTATAACATTGCAATCAGTTGTAAGGTTAGTTGCGTACTAAAAATGAAACAATATTTTACAACAAGCATAAAAATACCAAATACATAATAGGAAGATTGACTAGACAATTTTCTTTACTTAGATTAAAATTAAATGTATTGATTATAACAAGTTGAATAAAATTGTCTTACTAATTATAAAACAAAACATTTAAATGCATTTAATAGTTAACTATGAGTAAGGACAAATATGAGAAAAATGTTAAGATATATAAGAAATACTCTATATTAATAATACACACTAATAATGGACGACACAAACTTTTCTATCGGACGTTTAATGGATTATGCCCTAAATGAAAGGCATGATTTACTAAAAAATAAAATTTGATAAATTTTCGAATTGAGAATAGACGAGAAAAAGATTTTTAACGTTTAAATTACTTCTGGCTGGAAGACAACCGTTTCATTGACAACTGTATCAGTGGATTGCCAGCAACTCTGAGAACATGTGAAAATGAGCACAGAAAGAAAATGCAGATGTGATAATGAAATATTGTTAGGTAGAATTTTCAATGTGTTAGCCAATTCTGGCACGAGCTGCAGTTCGCAGATTAGTCTGGATCCGCAGCGCGTACAAATATTTGGCACAGTTGGTGATTCGGGCGTTCCTGAATTGATCGGCAATGGAGCGCCAAGAAGTGGAGGATCATCACGGGAGTATCTGTAAAATAATGAAATATCCACGGTGTAATTTTTCGGGTTTTGTATCGCTTTTTAGAATTCCTTTAACATAACTGACATTTTAAATGAAAACTATAAGCATAATAGCAATTACGTAAAAACTAAAAACCATCATATTAAATAAAATCGTTGGTAACTTTAAGAAATTTTTTAAATGATCAGTTATGTTAATAAATATATAATTATTCTGTATATATTGGAATCTTTTTATTTCGGAAAGAACTTCTTTTGAATATTCACATAATGTTCCTCGACAGCAGTAGAAAAAAGATACGATTATTTAAAATTATTATGATATTGGTCGCGTCAAACTTAATGGCGACTTAGGGGCAAAGCGAATATAATTATTTGTGCTGGAATCAGGTATGAGAATGAAAGTGTACACACGCCCGCTGCCCTTGTTTTTTCCACTCGTTCCCATAAAAGCATACTGTTGCGTACATTCGTACACTTTCGCGCGCCCATATCTTTTTACAAGGTGTCCAAAAATAAGGTAATAAGAGTGCCATTTTTGATCTAAAAATAAAAACACCTATTTATTGAGCATGTTAAGATATTTCTATCCTTATCCTTACTAATATTATAAAGGCGAAAGGTTGTATGTATGTTACTCTTTCACATTATTTCTCCTGAAATAAGAAGCGAAGGAGCAGAGTCGGACTCCTCCATCATGTCGGTTGCTTCGGCTAAATCAACGGCCTCTCAAGTGAGCAGAAAACGGACGAAGGCAAAACAACAGTCTCCAGGAGAACTAACAGCCCCGGAGCCGAAACGCCAAGCGACAAGTGTCGAAAGGTTGGAGCGCGAGAACGCCGAATTGCGTTCCCAAATTGGGCTGAGCTTACGGCGAAAGTTGGTAAGTTGACAGAGGAGCTCAGTGCTTTACGAAAAACAGAACAATGTAAAGCAACCAAGACGCCCCAATGTATTACGGAAGGAGAATTCGAAAGTCGGCTGATGGAGCGCATTAGCGTTCTCATCGATAAAAAACTGGCGGGTTTCGTTGGGCAAGGAACGATGAAGAAGTCGGAACAGTGCCCATCATCATCTGGAGGACCTGGCAATGCAAAGCGCATCCAGCGCGATCAATCTAAGGGCTCCACTTCTTTCGAGCATATAACGGAAAGTGAACGCCCACCGCAACCTTGGGCGGTAGTGGTGAGTCGCAAAGCCAAGAGGGCGGCTACGGGTCAGAAGACCTCGTCACAAAAAGGGCCTGTGACCCAGAAAGTCCCAGGAAAAGAGTCGGTCCCAAAGCCAGCTATGAAAGCAGCAAAGCCAGGAAGGTTGCCCAGCTCAGCGGCCATAACGGTCACTGTGCCAGAGCATAGTGAGAAATTGTATGCGGAAGTCATGGCAACAGCAAGACAAAAGGTGAACCTGTCGGACTGCGGCATCGAAACAGTCCGTACGAGGAGAGCTGTTACTGGGGCCTTAAAACTAGAGGTTACTGGATCTGACAGCGCTGCTAAGGCCGACAAGTTGGCTACCAAAATGCGGGAAGCTCTCGCCGAAATGGACGTGCACATCGCACGGCCAGTTAAAACTGGCGAACTAAGGGTAATGGATTTAGACGAATCGATCACTCCAACAGACGTTGCAGCTGCAGTGGCTGAAGCGGGAGGCTGTTTCGTCAAGGACATAAAGGTTGGTGAAATACACCGGAAACCATTGCGTTTGGGGTCCATATGGATACGATGACCGCTCACGGTGGTTCGTAAGCTGGCGGCAGCTAAAAGTGTCCGTATAGGGTGGACAGCTGCAAGGGTACAGGTGCTAGCACAACGGTCATTGCAGTGCTAACGGTGCCTTGAATCGGGTCACGTACGCAGCAGGTGCCCCAATGAAGTGGACCGTAGCACTCGCTGTTATTCATGCAGTGAACCTGGCCACAAGGCAAGTGAATGCAAAGCAGGAGTCCTGAAGTGTCCACTCTGTACGGATCTTGGACGTCCAGCTAACCATCGATTGGGAACAAAAGATTGTGCACCCAAAGGGAAGACAAAAGGAAAGGGGAGTAAGGAGGCTATGGATGCTTCACCTTCAACAGAAACGTAAAGCTCCTCCAAACCAATATGAACCACTGCCGCGCGGCGCAGGACCTGCTACTGCAAACCCTCGCGGAGTGGTCGGTTGCACTGACGGTTATAGCGGAGCCATACCGGATTCCGTAACACCCTCGCTGGTTTGGTGACGATGGAGGCTCCGTCGCGGTTTATTGGAGTGGTGGAAATAGGGACCCGTCCTGTTCATTGATTGCAAGGGGACAGGGCTTGGCTAGTCTCGGGCGCGTAGAATAGAGCTAAGGTATCGCCTGCCTGTCGTAAAAGGGGACACGGATTGGTAGCAGCACGAAGTGGTCTCGGGCTGCTGGGTGACGGCGAGGGAATCGGGGAAGGTTTACCCTTCTCCGAGGCGTGCTCACGCCCAGTACCGAGGGACACCGGTGCGTTCCATAGGAGATCCCGGAGTCCCTCGAAAGGTACAGATGGTGGCCACCGAGGGGGTTTTAGTGGGTACGAACCCCACATAACCCTGTCATATCATGATAGGGTATCTTTTGAAGATTTCCCCCCGATACCAAAAAAAAAAAAAAAAAGGTTTGTGAAATTTGAAGTTGTTAAGAACGATGTCGAATTGATGATTTCGTGTTTTCAGCAACACTCTCGCTTACAGCAACAATGTTTTCAAGTGACCCACCGGCCATGCCTTACTGACCCTGACTTCCATGATCGACCCTGTTACTTAAAATTTTTGACCACTCTTAGAATTATTGACACATAGGTGCATTTTCTCGACCAAAAACTCCACGAACTTTGCGAGCAGTCCCAGCGTAACTCAACATTTTTGTAATGGGTTTTCAGAACGGAAACGAAATCTTTTGTGAAGCGCTCCATTTTTAATAATCAGAACAATCATAGGTTTGATAGTTTTGCCAAATTTCAGAGTTGCCACAGAAAAAAATACACAAAATTTAAAAAGTGCACTTATTGGGAGCACCGTTAGTATAAAATGTAGTTAATGATTAAAGAGTTATTTTTGCACAAGTGGTAAATGTTTTTATTTCTAGAAATAGAATAGAATAAAAAAATAATTAATTTGCAGGTTGTGTTAATGTCATTTCAATTGTCATTGAAAATAAAAATCATTTTAATATCCTTTAAAAGAAAAACATTGTTTTTGTTTTTGTTTTTGTGGACATAAATAACACTTTCAAGTAAGTACTGAGCAGCAAACAGTCAATATTTTAATCTCTTTGCATAAATTTCTTAGTGATTCTTTGGGGCTCAGGTTATAAGCAGTTATTATTTTTTTGGAGGACGAAGGCTGTATTTATGTCGGCCGCGTTTCCCCAAAGTAGAATGCATTGAACACATTATACTGTGGAAATAACTAAAATATACCAAACAAGCTGTATCTACATTCGTTAGCTGTCTTATTTCTTTAACCGCGAAGGCTGCTGAGCTAAGTCTATTCGCCAGCTTATTAATTTTGGGATTCCACTGCAGTTTGACATCTATAGTTAGCGCATCCCCATGTTTTAGTACATCAGTTTTTACATGTTTCACATTTGGAGTTGAAAATTTTATACATTTAGCTTTTTTATTGTTCATTAGTACTAAACCAATGCACTATAGTGGATAAAGTATTGTTTACATCGTCATAATTTAAAGAATGTCGCTTTACTTTAACAACTAAAGAAGTATCGTCAGCAAACTGTATTATGTCATGATTATGATTAACGATATAAGGCAAGTCATTTATATAGATGAGGAAGAGAGAAGGCACTAGAAAAGATCCTTTATAATTTATATGGCGAAGTATTTAAATGATTTTTATTAAAAACAAATATAAGCGTCAAAATAAATAAACTTCTTAAACTGTTTCTAAGATAGATTATTGGATTTTATTATTATTTGTGTCTTAATGACACACTACAAATATAGTGTTGAAAAGGCTGCACTTGGTGCACAAATTTAGTTTTATTATATTCGAGCAAATCGCTGAGTTTCTTTGGCCGGTTCCTCTCAGTTCAGTGGCTTTTTTTTCTAAACAGGTGGTAGTATTTTGACTATCAATAAATGAGTGTAATACTCCTATTTTGAATAAATATATTTGAATTTGAAACAAGAGTTCAAATTCGAAAACATGTGAAATGTGCCAATCCTTCCTTTTAGCCAATTTATATAGTAGCCCTTTGCCTAATAGTGGGACATATACAGGGTTTTTTTTTAGACGAAGGACATACTTTGACATAATATTAATTGGGCATTCCATAATTCAAAAAAAATATATAATATTTTATTTTGAGAAAAAATAATCAGAAAAATATCAATTCAAACATTGTTTGTTTATCCCGTTAAGAGTGGTCACCCTATTGATTAGTACTGTAGTAATTATGCGTTCAGCGAAGTTTTAGTGCTTGAATAGGTTATTGTATTGTGACGGTAAGACAGGAATTTCTTAAGGTGTCCATAATGTTTGAAAAAATAATCTTCGAAAAAAAAAAATGAGGTCACACGTACATATCAGATTCAGATTTAAAATAAAATTCTGCATATGCTCTGTTAACATGTCCATTGTCTATAAAATCAACATTGTCTATAAACAAATTCTTCAATCACCCTTAATCACCCCAAAATCAAGTGCATATAAAGTGTGGTAGAACCACGCAAGTGTTCGCGGTTGCACAAATGGGTAAGTACTGAAGTGTCATACTTCTGCGTTTCGTCTGGTCAGTGAGGTAGCCGGACTTTATTACAATGTGGCAACGCATCTGCAATCCTACGGGTGTTGCAAATGTCCATGGGCGGCGGTTATCACTTAAAATCAGGATAACCACCAGCAAAAAAAAATTTACCTCCAAGAGGCATTTTACATAGTAAATCATAAGTTATAGTAGTTATTGAATAGAAAGTACCGCAGTATTTGTCCCGGGTTGTTTCGTAAACGAGTTATAAAAGCGTGAAACAGCCTGTCGCCGTGCAAAGGTGCTGCGTCTTCATACGACTCCTCGTCTATGCCACCGCCACCGGCCACTTTATCGGCAATATCCAACTCTGCAAAGAAATATAATCATAAGTAAATTTCCATATAATGACGTACTTAATACAAGCAGCATCCCAAACAAAAAGAAATTGATATTATTTCGTTTAATATAAAAAATTTAATTGGGTAATATATAATAAAAGTAAATAGGGTTTATGGTATGATGTTATGTGAAAATGTCACCTGGAATATAATTCAATCATTTGGGCTCCATATGAAACTAAATATAGCCTCATGTTGGAACGAATACAAAATAAATTTTTAAGATTTTTATACATGAAACAGTATGGAGTATATCCGCTTTACCCGTTGATGTACCCAACTTTATTTATTGTGGGAATGGTTGGATACAACACATTAAGCCTTAGAAGAGATCTACGTATGGTAGTGTACATATTTGAATTAATTCGAGGAAATATTCACAATGCGGACTTATTGGGACAGATAGGCTTGTGCGTTCCGAATAATTTCATTTGGCGGCGGCGCAGATCACAGCTGTTTGTGGAACCGCAAGGGCGCTCCCAGTTATTGAATGAGGCGCCGTGGACGCGTGCACTACGGACTTTAAATATGATTGCCAGGGATATAGATTTATTCTTGTGTTCTCTGAGTGAATTCAAAAAGGTTGCATTGTTAATTTGTAGTGGATATAGTAAATAAGTAGTTTTTCTTTATGTTGTAGATTGCCGCACTATTTTATTAGGTTAAGTACCTGTAATAATAGTGTAAGGTTTTGTTAATAAATAAATAAAATAATGTGATTACATTTGAATCAAATAAGACTACTGTTGGGAATATCCATACATAGACAAAAAATTTATTATAATTTACAAAACAATACTTTTAAAAGCTTTTGACATTAAAACGGCGGCATTTTCTTTGAGATCATAAACGAGCAAACATCCTATGGCAACACCACTTAGCAATTAGCAATAGAAATTTGGTAAAATTGTTTTATAGTTATACAAAAAACTGTTGAAATATTCAAATAAACTATCAAAATAAACATTTAAATCATTAAAGATAATTTTCAAATTTATAATAAAACCGGTCAAGTGCGATTCAGATTCGCGCACGAAGGGTTCTGTACCATTATCTATAGAAACGGCAAAAAAATTTTGTATGGGAGCTGCACTTAAAAAAATATATTCTGTTTTTACAACAGAACTCTGCAACAGAAATACATCATCTGGCAAATTTCAACTATCTAACTTTACCGTTATCAGTTCATGAGATACAGCCTGGTGACAGACGGACAGACAGACAGACAGACAGCGCAGTCTTAGTAATAGGGTCCCGTTTTACCCTTCGGGTATGGAACCCAAAAGAGGTTAGGTGAGGTTGACCAGTTATGGAATTTTGACCATAATTAATTAACCGACTTCAAAAAAGAAGGAGGTTTCTCAATTCGCCCGCATATATTTTTATTTTTTTATGTGTGTTCGCGGATTACTTCGTCGTTTATGAACCGATTTTGATGATTATTTTTTTGTTGGAAAGGGGATATCCCAAGGGTGGTACCATGATAAGGAAACCCGGATCTGATGATGGCATCGTAGAGAAATCCTCAAATTTATAGTTATCAACAATGTTTTTTAGTTACCAGTTTGAAGTCGTTTTTTTTTTGTTGAAAATTATTATTTTTATTTAATTTATAAGTTTGAAAAATATTTATCTATTCTCAATATGACCACAGACTATCAATAAACAAATAGTATGTAGTGTACTAAAAATATTAGCATTCTGCAGTCCAGAGAAATTTGTGGGAAATTTCATACTCCTCCGTCAGTGAAATTCTTATATAAAGATGTACAAAGTTTTTCCTTCACATAATAATATAGTAAAGATTTTATGGCTATTATAAATTGATGTGATAGAAACCACTTTGTTGGTATAAAGAGTTGGTGACCTGTATAACATAGAAACTCACCATTTTCATTTTTATATTTATTGAGTAATTCAGTAACTCGGTCATCATTAACAGAATGTTTCTTGTATTCTTCTTCTACATAAATATATTTGGGGACAAACTGTAGCGGTGCACATATAAGTCTGTTCCTTAAATCAATTGGTAGTTCAGCCGTCTGTAAATAGGTATAGTTTAATCAGAAATATTAGATGCTAAAATAAATGAATTTCGCAAATTGTACATGTCCCTAGTATGGGACTAGATTGCTTGGTTGTTGTTAGTTCGAATAGTTATTAAGGCGCTGTATGCAGTATAAATAGGTGTTTCAAAAGATTTTTTAGCAAAATCTACAAATTTTATAGCAGCAAAAAAAATATATGTTAATCTCGATCGTACATTCTAAGGGAACATTGTTTCCAAAACATATTCTCGATAGAAAAAAATCATGAAACTACCTCTAAATGAGAAATTCAAAACCAAAAATCAACGTAATACATCAACAAATCTTAATGAAATTAATATCAGTGGTGTAGAATATATTAATAAAAAGGATTGTTGTTTTAATTTTTTGATTGATGTAAGATATTTCTAAATATTAATTTAATTCATTAAAATTAATTCGAACGCGATGGGCAAAACACCGGCGTTGTTTCGGCTGTCTTCCAACTCCACACGTTGAACAGAGAGCGCTGAGGCGCCTTGCTAGATGGACCTATGCCACTCGTCTTCCGCTCACCGTTACGAAATATGTTCCGTATTTATTTATTATTGAGGGTTATAATTTTATTAGATCTTTCGAAAACACGAAACTAAAAAATATATATTCACATATTTCGTATTTTTAATTATTTGTATGAATTAACAACTAAAGCGTAATTTTTTCAATATCTTATCTTGTCATTGATAAGTTTATCAGTCCTATACAGTGTAAAGGCAGGATTGCCAACTTAGGAATTTTCTTCCGAAATTTAGGAATATAAAATGTGGAATGGAAGTTTATTGGGAGGTAAATTTTTATGGGAATATTTTTTAGGAGTTAAATTTTATTCACATTTTCGAAAAAAACTACACAAAACAACTTATTTAAAAAAATTCAGTGCTGCTTTGGATAACGTCAGGCCAAGGCCTATGTGTCTGGTATGAATATTTTATGTATTCTAATAATTTTTTTTAATATTGTTTTGATTTTATTCTTAACATATTCATTTCAAATGAATTATGTTATATTTGATGTTCTTGACCATGGTTTATTTTATCAGATAATTATTTTGCCTTTTCCTATGATATAAAAAAAATCCTGATTTTAAATTTAGAAATTTTTGTTTCAATTTAATAAATTGTAGTTGGTTTTCGAATTGTTTTAGGAGTATAATTTTTGAACAGTTGGTAACACTGTGTAAAGGACCATCATTCTATGGGGATTGGGTTCAAATCCCTACATTTTTCTTTGTTATATTTTTTGGTGATTTTCTTTTTGTAGGTATTTTTTTTTAATTTACCATTTAATTTTTGTTGATTTTTTTATTTTTATAAATAATTACAACTAAATATTATTGTATTTGTTGAACGTAGAACGCAACAGTTGGAGAACAATCTATCAGATAATAAACCAAGTTTTCATTATTTCCATTGACCAATAGGCTACACGATGTCTGCGGAAGGGAACAATTTTTCGATTCTAGTTATAATTGTTGTCGTTTATAGATATAAGGAATTTTATCGATAATTTTTTAAATATAATTTCATTGAAGAATTAATATAACGTAGTAAGTCTTTCACATTTAAAGGATAAATTAAAGATATAAAGTTTAAGAATATTTGTATCACAATAGTATTTGTAATTTCTGCCGAGGAACTATGAAATTGCTTAAAATTTTTATGAGAAAATTTTTCTTTAAGTCAAAATAAATAATTATTCGTTTATTTATTGTTTTGTTGTAACAAATGTCATTTGCCTTTATCAATTTATTTGACCTTAACATGTATTTTTAATCCGTTTCCTGATAATTTAAAATAATCAATAGGTAGATTTTCTAAAATTGTTGATTGCTTTCTCAAACTTTATATTTGTTTGTTTATTACTATTCCTATAATAATATAAGAGTAAAATATAATCATGGTTTATAAAAGATATTGTAGGGACCATCTGTGTACATTTTCAACAGTCTTCCATGATACTATCGATAGTGTCCTACGGCCCATCACTAAAGGCAATGAATGGTCTAGCGGCGCGTCGACGAAACTCGCGCGCTGCGCGCCGCTAAGCGGCGTTACCCCTCCTCCGACGCTTCCTCATACTTCACCACCCAAATAGTTAAAAATTCACTGCATACAGCGCCTTAAGGATATAATTCAAATGTAGTTTGTTGTATGTAATATGTATTTGTTTATATATTATATTATATTAACATGTATGTGTTTTACATCGCGACCTGATAATTTAAAACACATATAGAGGATAACTTTTTAAAATTGTTTAATTTACATTCTTTATACTCAAATTTACAGAATTTTTTTGAATTTTTAGAACACTATTCCTATATATAATATATAGTATAATATATAATCAAGGTCTATAAAATATATATCTTCCATGATTTTAGCTCTAGTTTGGGTCCTACGGCCCATTACTACATTATCTTCATGATTATTAATTTGTGACAGTGTGGGGGTTTATTGTTTTCGGTTAAACTAATTGAATCCTTTGGTTTATGCGAATACTACATATTAAATAAAACTAATTTACGGATTTTTTCTAAAATTCATTAAGCTATAATTTAAAGATGCAAAAAATCTGTATATTAGTATTGTTATAAATCGCTAAACCTGCATAAAATCGAAAGTGGAACTTCACATACTTGATGCAATAATGCTTGTATATCTTTTGTGGCAATAGTTGGGGTCTCTACAATAACTAAACCTGGTTCATCTCCCCCCTCTAATTCAGCAGCTACTTCAGGTCCATTGTTTGCACCCACAGCCCCTAAAGTTGCATACATCAACACAGCATTATAAAGTGATCTAAATATGTTTAAATTAAAAAAAGAAATATTAAAGTGAAAAATTAAATAAAATTTACCATACCTAATGGGGACATGTTAGCATTATGGGCATCAAACATTTGCAAGTTGCCCAAGGCTTGTTCAACTGTTTCAAGCTCAAAGGAGTTACTTTCATCATCTTCATCAGAATTTCTGTATTTACCAAATAAATTAGTTTCATAGAGTATATTATCAATCTTCAACAATACTTTTTAATAATTATCATAATTATAAGTCAGTACAGCATTCCACATACAAAAAAGAAAAACTAAGTCTTTTGATTTGATTCAATAGAAAATTGACTGTTAGTCAATTAATGTATTCCATGAAAGTTATACAACCTAGACAGCTAGAAATGGTGAACATGGTGGGAGCATAGTTGCTAAGCAATAAAAAAGTTAGATTCCCATTGGGGATAAATATTTGTATGATGTACTTGTTCCCAACGTGGGTTTTCTCCTCTGTACAAAGGATATTAGGGCAAAGTCCACCACACGACCCCACTGCAGATGCAGGTTTCCTCACAATGCTTTCTTTCACCATTTAGCACATGATATGTCAGCACTTCCTCACAATGTTTTCCTTCACCATTTAGCATGTGATAACTCAGCACTTAAAATTGTAATTAATCTGTACTTGTGTTTCAGGGGGATATATTAAATTAAAAATTAGCACCTAAATACTGAGCTGTAATGGCTTTAAAAATGTAAAAGGGACTTAATTTTTTAAATAAAAGGATTTGTGGCATGAAGTTGCTGGTCATGTAACTTTAACCTCATTTTCACATTTTCGCTGTTATATAAATAGGCGATAGACAAGACTATTCCATATATAAATAAAATAGGGTATAGTCTTGTCCAGGAAAGTACCCATAAATTGTTTTATGTCATGGGAACTTTTTATTGTGGCCACACAGCAGCTTTGGTTACAACCAATAGGCAGGTTGTGCAAGGTCACACCCTTATTGAAAAAGGGGTTGAAGTGGCATTTTTATACTTTTTAATTTTTATTCGTTTGGTAATGCATCTGCAACTCCTCAGGAGGTGTAGGTGTTCATGGGCTACAGGAATCACTAACCATAAGGTAAATTGTCTGTTCACTTGTGAACTTTTCATATAAAAAAAAACCTGCTTGCATACCATTACTATTATAAGAACATTAAAAAAAGAAAATAGGAATATTTCATAAGAAATATTATAAACTCACCGCATACTATTATTGCCCTGATCATTATCTATATTCATAATATTTCCATTAGTGGAATCTCCATTATCATTCTCATCCCATTCGTCAGCTCCATTACACCAAGCCATATTTGTGTTTGCACTAGGCATCATAACAATGGTACTTTGTTTACATGTAGTAGTATCTTCAATTTGACTTCGTACACAAGCCCAACTAAAAGAAATATATTATGAAGAAATTATATAAGTTCATTTAATTATTTTACAGCAAACACTAGTCAATAAAACTTATACTGAATGAAACTTTTTAAGGAAAAAAAAGTATGGATTTTTTTAACCTTTCTGATTGTATCCAACAGTTTGGATTAATACAGGCGAAAACATATAGTGTTCTATGATAAACGGAGTTTTCGAGCGGAGCATAGCATTGTACAATCATTATTCGGTGAAGACTGCACAATGGGCATTTCGACGAAAATTTGAGATTCTCTAGGGGTGGCCAGTTCTGTAAGAAGTACACAATATATCTTATGATTTTATGGCTTCATCATGAATATAATTATTTAACACTATTTATTACATTCAAGGCACTTACAGGAAAACCTCCTATTTTATTGACTGTATGATTCAGAAACATTTGATTTTTTTCTCCAATAGTATCCTCTTCATATCCTAAGTAAACCTTGCTTTGTCGTTTAGCCATAATGTACAACACTGATATTTCTATTTGTTATATAAAATTAAAACTTAAACAAAACTAGAAATCGGACTTAAAAGGTTTAACAGATAAACATATAAATAAGTTTACTATATGTATATCTACTGTTTTCTTCAGAGTTCAGTTCAGTGTCTTCACTCTTCAATTAAACTTCATTCATAGATAAATTACTTACGTAGGTATTGACTTGACTCCAGGGTTGAATTTAGGTGCGGTAAAAAAGATAGGACAAAAAAGGAGAGTATTTTACAGAAAATTATAGTACACTATTATTTTCATAATTAATGCACAAAAATAAATTATTTTACTCAAAAAATCTCAGAAAATTTTTATCACTTTGAATTTTTGACGTCCCTCCACTAGATAGAGTGACGACCTGTGCAAATGTGCGGTCGCCACAATATCCGCGACCCCCGGTCGAAAAACACGCATATGGGTATCCGCGTATACCTTGACACTACGGACGACTTCCGTCGCGTAACTAAGTACTTGCGCGAAAACAAGATAGGTTTCCACACCTACTCTTTGCCCGAAGAAAGAAAACTTCGGGTAGTAATCAAGGGCGTCCCCAAAGAGTCGGATGTCGACAAGGCGAAGACCGACATCCGCACTCAGGGATACCCTGTGCATAACGTACGCCGCCTCAGGCACCCTAGAACCCGTGTCCCTATGGACATGGTGATGGTTGAACTTGACCCTACCCCGGAAGGTAAGGCCATCTTCAACCTGAAGAGGGTCTGTGGGCTCAGCGACCTCGTGATCGAGCCCCCGCGAAGATCGGGAGTTGTGGCGCAGTGCCACAACTGCCAACACTATGGCCACACGGCTAATAATTGTTTCGCTCACCCTAGGTGCGTCAAATACACCGGTGACCACGGCACGCCCGATTGTGCGCGGCCAAAAGATTGCGCAGATCCACCGGACTGCGTTAACTGTCATACCACCGGCTACCCGGCTAGCTACAGGGACTGCGCTAAGGCCCCAAAAACTCCCGCGAGAAAAGCTCCCGCGAAATCTACTTTGCCCAAACCCGCGCCCGTGAAATACGTTCCCGCGCCCGTACCCGTCGTAAACGCCTGGGCGAAACCCCAGGTGGCCGCGCAGGTAGTTGCGCCCCCGGTCGCCTCACGACCAATCGCTCCCGCCTATCAAACGGCGCCGACGCCGCAGGTGCAGTCGACACCGCCGGTTTTCGCCGAAAACAAGGACGACCCGTTCGCCCAAATTGCCAACATCTGCGCCTTATTAGACCGCATTAATGGACAAGCACTCGCCGTATTGTCCGCTAAAATAGCAGCCGCCACATCTGGCAACGCGCGATTTAAAGCCATTAGCGAACATAAAATGCTTGTAGAAGCCCTCTGGGCATTTACAAGCCAACCATAAACTTAATAGTCCGCGCAATAAAACCGCGCTCCGCTGCGTCGTTAGTTAGAACTCATAAAAATCTTTAATGGGAAGTACAACCGCAGGTAGAACAAAACCTCGGGCTCTGGTTGTTTCGTATTTCAACGCAAACGGCATAAAGGGTCAAAGGGACGAAATCGCGGAATTCCTTCGCGATTATAACATAGATATTTTTCTAGTGCAAGAGACATTCTTAAAACCTAGTGTACGCGATCCCAGAATCGCAAACTACAACATAGTCCGCCACGACCGGTTAGCAAACCGTCTGGGAGGCACCTTAATTTATTACAAACGGTCCTTGCACTGTAGCCCGCTCGACATTCCAGAGCTAAGCCATATAGAGGCATCCGCGTGTAGGTTAGCGCTCACCGGCCATAGGCCGCTTGTACTAGTCTCAGCCTACCTCTCGGGGAACAAAACCTTATTATAAAGCGACCTAGATACGCTACTTAACTTAGGCCCTTCCTTGATAATTGCAGGAGATCTAAACTGCAAACACGGCTCATGGGACATCCACAGCATCCCAAATAACAACGGAAACCATCTCTTTAGCTTATCCGATAATTTAAACTTTAGCATAATTGCTCCTGCGACTCCCACTAGGTATCCTACGGTGGACAACTACCAACACGCGACGAGTATCCTAGATATCATGTTACTCAAGGAGGTCTCGCTCGACATCGAGTCGATAGAGACAATCCATAAACTAGACTCAGATCACAGGCCCGTCCTGTGTAAACTGGGCCAGAACGCCGGCGCGGTCCCTCCGACCAAATCCGTAGTGGACTGGCATCGTCTTGAGGTCAAACTCAAGGCCTTGGACCCCCAGGACTTAGTCGACCTACCCGAGACGATAGCTACGTTCGATGACGCAAATCGAGCGATAGCAAGTCTCCGAGAAACCATCACTTCCACAGTCGCAGACTCGGAACGGACGGTTAAACTGTCGGGCGATCGACGGTTTAACTTTCCGCCCGACCTGCGACTCCTAATTAGGCAGAAAAATGCAGCCAAACGCGCTTTCGACCGATACCGATCGGAATCAACCGAACCCTACTTCGACGCCTTCAGCTAGAAGTCAAAGATCGTGTATCGGAACACCGACATACAACGTGGGACACTCTCCTAGAGGACATCAAGCCATCGCACACCGCCTACTGGCGGTTGGTCCGCAAACTGAAAGCAGACCCCCGCGAATCTCTACCGCCGTTAGTTAGACTTAATAGCGCTTCAGTAGCCTTAGATGACTCCGAAAAAGCCGAATGCCTTGCGGACAACCTAGAGCAGCAATATACGCCATCGTGCGAACACATCGATACAGCCCACCTAACGGAGGTGGACCGCGTAATCGAGATTAGGGCTGCGCTTCCACCGGAAGGCGATCCTTTGAATTCAGTGACCCCCGAAGAGGTTCAAGATATTATTAAAAACTGAAAACCCAAATCCGCCCCGGGCCAGATAATATTAGTAACAAAATTCTTAAAGCTCTCCCTGGGCCGCTTATCTGTTTACTGGCGACCATTTACAATACTTTACTCTCCAGTTGCTCCTTTCCAGACGACTGGAAAGAAGCCAGGGTTATCGGCATTCGCAAGCCTAATAAACCAGCCAACCAGCCCTCTAGTTATCGTCCCATCAGCCTCCTCAGTTGCATGTGGAAGCACTACGAGCGGCTTTTATTAAACAGGCTCAATGAGCACGTGTTTTCCAACGGCCTTCTGCCGGCGGAACAATTCGGCTTTCGAGCTAGACATTCCTGTCCCGATCAACTATTCCGCCTAACGGAACATATCCTAAAAGGCCTAAATCACCCTAAACATATTAGTACAGGGGCTCTTTTCTTCGATGTCGCAAAAGCATTCGACAAGGTCTGGCACAACGGCTTGCTTTACAAGCTGTTCACACTCAAAGTGCCAGATAGGCTCGTACACACCATTCAGGCCTTCCTGTCGAACCGCTCTTTTCGATATCGAGTTGAAAGCACCCTCTCCACAAGCCGCCGCCTCACGGCCGGCGTACCACAAGGCTCCTGCCTCTCACCTTTGCTCTTTACGCTCTACACGAGCGATATACCTAAAGACCCCCACGTCAATCTCGCGCTTTTCGCGGATGACACGGCGCTCTTTTATTCAGACCGCAACCTTAGACAACTAACCGCTCGACTCCAAAGCGCTGCCGACCGCCTCGGCGATTGGTTCCGCAAATGGAGAATAGAAATAAATCCTGAAAAGAGTGTGGCGATTCACTTCACACGAAGTACTTACCCGTCACATCTTTATAATGGTCCTCGTCAATGCAGAAAGTTGGGGCAAATATCCCTTTATGGCCAACCGCTCCCCTTGGAGAAAAAGGTCAAATACTTCACTTTCACAGTCACTTTCGACTCGCGTATGTCATTTACTACGCACATTAATAACGTTCGCAATAGAGCCGCGTTCGTCTCCGGCCGGCTACACAATGTAACTAACGCTAAAAGTAAAATGCCCTTAAGGCACAAATTATTATTATACAAGACCTGCGTACGACCTATTATATCTTACACATGCATGACCTTCGCCCACACGCACCCTACTCGCTTGTACAAGTTGCAAATAGTACAAAATAAGTTCATCCGCCGCGCAACCGGTGCGCAGTGGTATCAACGCAACGTCGACCTGCACAGCGATTGCAGACTCCCGACGATTCGCGAATATTTTAAAGACCTGACCAAACGGTTCTTCGATAGAGCCGAACATCATCCCAACCCTCTGGTGGTAAGCGCAGCAAATTACCAACCCGACCAAAACGCGAATGTCAACAAGCGTCGCCCGCGAAACGTCCTAATCGACCCGGTCGAGGAAGGGGACTTAGACACGCCGGGCCCACTGCCGGGGGTCCCGCCGGACAACACTACACCCACAGTTAGTGCAACAACAAACACACTAGTTCGCCCTCGCCTCCGAGCACGGCGAGACCAACACAACGCGTACACAAGGTACACCCGCGTTCCGGGGCGGTTCTCACCGCCCCCAGCCACCGATTAGCTAATTGCACAGTCGACGGCCATCGGGGTTTCGGTCCGAACCACGACCTCGATGGCCCTTAGATGACATACCATAGTTAAACGCACGCATGAGCACATGCGTGGCCCTACCCACAGCGGAGGGCCCAAACCCGTGGGTTCTGGCTAGCCCACCGGTTCTGCGTCAGATGAAGCTTTAATAGTCTCGGACTGAAAGCAAAAACATCAGTTAATACAAGAAATGTGCGGAAGTAGATGGATGCAGGTGGCTCAGGATCGTATTTCGTGGTAGTTTACGGGGGAGGCTTATGTTCAACAGTGGACTCAAACTGGCTGAAACACGGTCTTTTCAGTACATACATTTGATATTTATATGGAGGTTGCTCATTCCGTTTAGTTCCATCCGTCAAAAACAGATGGCGTTGTTTTAAATGCAAAACCATTTTAACTATGGTACCATTAAATTAAAAACAAAATTTTATTTTAAGTTCAAATAATTTATTAAAAAAATATGTATGGTTCTTATTTTGGAGAAAATTGTATTTTATTTAATAAAACATTTTAATTTGAAAGAAAA